CGCTTTGACTCGACGGCGGGCCCGGCGTTGAAAATCGCTCTCATGCTTCTGCCGGTGGCAACCTTGCTGGCGCACATTGCGTCCGACCGTCGCCACGAGCGGGAGCAGCGCGAGCGGGCGGGTGCCTTGTTGCGGAAATTCGATACTATGTTCTGCATGGCCGTCGGTTGGTTCCTGCGGCTCTTCGACGTCGCCAGCCACGACATTGCGAAGTCGCGTTCTGAGATCGACTGCATGGTCGAGACGTTGGACGCGGTCCTCATGCAAGGGCGCGTCTTCCAGTCGGTCCTTCAGGCCCCCCGCCCCCCCGCGGCAGCCGCAGCCTCTGGCGCGACCGCCCCAGCTGCCGAGGAGCCGCTGCCGCGGCTCCGCGCGGCAGGGCACGAGGCGGGCTTCATCGCAGAGACGGCCGCGCGCAATCTTCGCCGCAAATATGCGTGTTCTACGCAGACGGCGACCCCGCGATGCCATGGGGGAAGCCAGCAGTGGCGCACAAGGAGGAGCTCCTCCACCGATTGCAGAACGTGGCGGGATTGACAAGAGAGCGCTTGCTCGCGGACTTCCCGCGGACTGACGCCCGCTCGGCGCTGGCGATGTTTCACCGGCGTCTCGTGCAGACAGGTTTCGGCCCAGTGCCTGATGTGGAAGTGCGGCGGTTCCTGTTGCGGGGCGTGCGCCAGCTGGCGGCCTTGCTCGGTTGCGACGAACAGGCGGCGATACAGCAGTACAACGGCGTGCTTCCTTACATGATGGAACAGATGGAGCCGCCTCAGCCACTGGCGGGAGCCACTAACCAGCAGGCGTGGGCTCGCGTGCTCGACGATAACTTTTGGGAGGCGGCTTGCCCGAGGCGGCTCCGCGGGGCTTCTCGCGTGCTGCGCCGCCTCGTGCGATTCCACATCTCGATTGAAGACGGGGAGTGCACCGTCGAACGCGACTTAGGCAGATTTCGGGATCAGCGGGTAGAGCACCGCACCGATGATATCGCCTTCCACGACGACAGCTTGATCCTGAGGTTGAACGGGCCGAAGACGGCGGTGGATTTCTCCGAAGGCGCGGCTCGCTCTGGATTGGGCTGGACATCCTTCTCCAGGGAATGCGCCAGCCTCTGGCTGGAACTGTTCGGCCATCGGCGTGGGCATTGCAATCCTCACGCGACTGCGGCGGCCAAGTTGAAGAGGCGCCTGGCGCCCGGGCTTGTTCGAGGACGTGTTCGGGCCGTTCTTGGGGCCGCCGGACTGGCCGCGGGTGCCGCGCGTCTGCGACGGGCGCGGGGCCAGTCGTCGACCGCGGTGCATTCTGGCGCCGGCACCGAGGCGAGCGCTTTGTGGAATGATGACATGGGTAAGTTCCAGGCGCGCAGCCGCAATAATATACCAGGCGTCACGCAGGCGCGGGCGCGCCCTGGGGCGCCTTTCGCGGGTCCGCCCGGCGCCCACTTGGCTCCGAGACGAGGTGCGACGACGCAGCCTCTGGCGCGGCCCTCGCCGTGCAGCAAGGTAGCAAGCCTCGGCGGCGCGACTGGCGCGTGCCCTGCGAGAGGTTGCGCTACTGTCACTGGCAGACACCGCTGTGCAGAAGCAGACCTCGTCGTCGTTCCAGACTTTTCGCTTCTCCACGACTTGGACGCGCTAGCAGCCAGCGCGGACCTGACCGTCTCTTACTTTTACATAGTGTCGCTGGGCCTCGACGTCGTTACGAAGACGCACTTGGTCTTAGCCCAGGGCCGCCCAGATGGAATTCCACTCGGCCACCGCATGCGCCACGCTCCAGCAAACGAGCGCCAGGAGGTAATCCATCTCGCGCCAGGCCTCGTCGCGGGGCATCCAGATGCGAGGGCGGCGGCGCGGCGCGCGGCGCGCAGAGCGGGGTCGAAACTCGCAGTGTCGGAAGCGCCCCCCCCCAGCCGCTGGCGGGGCGTGTTTTTCGAGTCTGCGCGACGTCGTCGCATGGGCGTCTGCAGCGAGGAAAGTGAGGAACGAGATTGGGCCTAAGGCGGTGTCTGCGGACGGAATGCCGATGCGCGCCTGGGGAGCCACCCTGACCAAAAACATACGCACGCACGCACGCGCACACACACACACACACACACGCACCAAAAAAAACAACAACGTTTCGCGTGCCCCCGTGGGCCCGCCCAGGCGAGTTGTCCTGGTCAGGGATCTGTAGCATCACGCAGCGCCAACAGGGGCGGGAAGTTATGCCAGCCGCCATACCCCAACATTGGAACAGCCCAGTCAGACACGGGGGAGAACCGCGCGCGCATTCGCGATTCTCGTCGAAAGATGGGGCGGGGGGGGGGGGAGTGGGGGGCAGGCGGGCGGCGTGCGTGGCGACGAGGGCGGGGGGGATGGGGGAGTGGAGCAGAATGAATATCCATTCGAGGTCCTCTGGAGGTTCTCTGGCAGTTCCCGTTGGCGGTGCGGGGTTCCTCTCGGGGCTCGTTTGGGGGGTCTCAAGGCCCCTTAGGATTGTTCTCGGGGTCTCTTGCAGGCCCTGAGGGGTCCGCTTGGACCATCTTGTAGAGCGGCGTCGCTCGCTGGAGGGGCGCTCCCCTGCGCGGGCCCCCCCGCTTCGGCGCAGCAAAATCCCCATCTATGGGGTTCTCTGGAGGGCGACCAGACCCTGCCAGACAGAATACCGGGGCCCGCCCATGAATTAGACAAGACTCTGCCAAACAGTAGACCAGACCCTAACAACAAGTAGACCAGACCCTGCCACCCATTACGCCAAACCCAGCCGAAAAGTAAACCAGACTGTGTCAAAAATTAGACCGGACCCTGCCAAACAGTAGACCAGACACGGCCAACAATTAGGCAATACCCTGCCAACAATTAGACAGTACACTGCCATCAAGTCGACCAGACCCTGCCAAAAAGTAGACCCGGCCCTGCAAAAAGTAGACCAGACCCTTCCAAAAAGTAGACCAGACCTTGCCAAATAGTAGACCAGACCCTGCCAATAAGTAGACCAGACCCCGCCGAAAAGTAGACCAGACTCCGCCAAAAAGTAGAGCAGACCCTGTGAAAAAAAAGCATACCTGAACACCCATGAGCAAACCAGACCCAGCCGTAAATAGAACAGACCCTGCCCCAAAAAGTAGACCAGACACTGACAACAAATTATATGATACCCACCCAAGCAGTAGACCAGGCCCTGCCCAAAAGTATACCAGACCCTGCAAAAAATAGGCCCGACCCTTCTCCCAAAAGTAGACCAGACCTTGCCAAATAGTAGACCAGGCCCTGCCAAAAAATAGAGCAGACCCCGCGGAAAAGTAGACCAGACCCTGCCCAGGAGTAGCCCAGACTCTGCCAAAAATTAAACCAGGCCTTGCCAAGCAGTAGACCAGACCACCCAAAAGTTGACCAGACCACACAGAAAGCATACCAGACCCCGCCAAAAAGTAAATCATGCACCACGCAGTAGACCAGACCCCGTCCCAAAGTATGCCAGACCCCGCCCGACAGTACACTTGCCCGAAAGTACGCCAGCCCGAAAGTACACCAGCCCTGCCAGAAAGTAGACGGTACGCCGCCCACAAGTAGACCAGACTGCCCAGGAGTAGACCAGACGCCGACCACAAGTAAACCATGCCACCTTTCCAAGCATGCCTGGGCATCCCAAAGTGCGGTTGAGAAGACCGCGCGTCGCAGCAAAGCGGCCCAAGTGCCAACTGCCGGCAACGTGCCGCGCGCGCTTCTTGTTGCGCCACTTCGTTCATTCGCGCGCATGGCGGCGCAGCAGGGAGGCGGCCCCGCGGCGAAGAGGCTGCGCTCGGCGCAGCCAGCTGCCGAAGCGCAGCCTGCGCCGTTGCCTTCGCCGCCAGGGCCGCTGGGCGTCGCGGGGCTGCTGGAGATGGAGTCGCTGAAGACCCAGACGGAGCATCTTCGCAGTTGGGCAAAAGAGGCGAAGGAGTACGTTGACAAGGCTCTCCTGAAGTTTCTGAACAGATCGACACACGCAGGTGTCCTTCAAAATTCCGGGCTCCGTCATGCTCATCCCTCCCTTTAGAATTTCCGACGCGGCCTCTGGCGCGAATTTGGCGGCGTTCCGCGAGGTCATGAACAACGACAACTTGCAGATGAGTTTCTCTAAGACGGGGCAATACGAGGCCGCGGGGGCAGTCTGGATGCTTGACCCGCTCGCCAGCGACACGTCCGATCAGCCAGCTCGATGCCGCCATGGGGACGTGGTCTGAGGAGAGGCTCCTGCTGTCATCCGACCACCCGCCGTCGCGGCGCTACTCGTTCGACGTGCCGCTCCCCGCGCGAGTGGTGAACACCAGGGTGGCGCAGCGCACGGCCGCAGGCGAATCCTCAGTGCTCATGTCAACGGGCGTGCCCATGCTGGCGGGGCACGCGCTCGTGATGGCTTGGTATGGCGCCATGGCAGAGGCGTTGTCCACAGGCAACGCTGATCGTGCATTCAAGCTGTTTGAGGCAGCGTTGAGCGTGCCAATCAGGCTGCGTCTCAGCCCCGATTCGGACGCTTGCCAGCTGGCTGCGCTGATGTTCTCTGAGACCATGTTCACGTCGTGCGCAGCCTCTGGCGCGGATTCTTTCTGGAAGCTGGCTGAGAAGGCGGCTCGCCTCTCAAGGTGCCAGAAGGCTTTGGCCGACAACCTGTCCCTTCCGAAATTGTTCGCCGTCCTCAAGACGTACGGGCTCGCTTTCAAGGGCAAGCCGCTCGCCGAGTCACACGCGAAGTGTTTGAAAAAAACTTGACGCCTTTCGTTGTGGATGATGCGTGCGTCGTGGCGTACTCTTTGGCGGAGGCTTTCTGCCCTGAGCTTCGCGAACCCACGTTGCTGCTGCGCTTGGCTCAGTTATGCAATGGAAGGGCGGCGTCTTCCAAGGCGGACAAGCACGAGACCTCCCGTCAGTCGATGGCGTTCATCATGGATTGCTTGCGCGCGGCCCGGCTGACCGGCGACGCCCCCCAGGGGGAGGGGTTGACCCTGGGCAAAGTCACGGGGCAGGAGAAAAAAAAAACCAGCGATGGCGCACATTCTCTTCAAGAAGCAAGATCTCATCGCGCACATTCTTCACGAGGCGGAGATGATCGACAAAGAGATGTTGCTTTCAGTCTCCATGCTTCGCTCGACGCTTGCCATCTTGAAGCGCTTCTCAGCCTCTGGCGAGGAAGATGGCTTAGCTGCTCAGTTTCGCCGAGACGAGACTGCGACTCGTGGCTCCGGAGGGGGGTTCGAAAACACGTTCGCTGTCCCAGTGGCCAACCACAGCGACCAGCAGGGGCAGGACGAGAAGACGCAGGCGGTGATCGACTTCGCGCGGGGCGTCTGGTCTGGCCACTTTGACGAGGAGCTCGAGGAGCTCGTCTCCCAGGACCTGCAGGGAGGTGCGCCCGGATTGTTGCGGCACCGGTACTTCAACGAGAGCGCCGAGGAGATGGGCGCCAAGTGCCGCGCGCTGGTCGCAGCTTGCTCGGCAGGCCCCATCTCGGCGAACCCTGCCGCGAACTCGGCCTCCGGCTTGGTCATGGGGGCGTCGGAGCTCGGGGATGCTGACCAGGAGGACCTCCGAAAAACCAAGGAGTTGCTGATCACCTTGCGCAGGAAGACCGTTTCGTTCCTGGCGCTGCCGACCGTCGGCGGAGTGTCTTGCGGGGAATACAGCACTGCCCAGTTGCAGAAGGTGTGGGGCGAGATGCGTCTCGGACACAGGTGCGCCAGGAAAAAAACCGACGCGCGAGCATTCATTTTGTCGGCGGACCTTTTTCCACCAAACGTGAGCAAGAGCGGGGCGGCGGCGAACTTGGGCGACCCCGTCGGTTGCGATGCGGAGCGCTTCGGGCGCGCGCTGGACTTCGTCTGCCAGAAGCGCTCGGTTCAGGACATAGTCATTTTCCTCGATGGGCGGAGCCGCTCGTGCCGCAAGGTGATCGAGGAGAGAGAGAGAGAGAGAGAGAGAGAGAGAGAGAGAGAGAGAGAGAGAGAGAGAGAGAGAGAGAGAGAGAGAGAGAGAGAGAGAGAGAGAGGATAGTCTCGCAGCCTCTGGCGCGCACGCCCTGACGGAGTGCTGGTGCGTGTACGTGCAGCCGCCCAAGCAAGAGGATCCCAGGGTTCCAGGGAGAGTGAGTTGTTTCGCGTGCAACAACAAGGAAGTGGCCATCTGCTCGATCCCGAAGAGGGGCGCCATGAAGGTAGTGGAGCGCGCGGAGTTTAACACGTGCGGCGAGTCTTCGAGTGCCGCAACGACGTACACGGGCGTGCCTATGCGGCAGTACTGCGAGCTCCCGCGAATGACCTACGAGACGAAAGCTTCAATTCTGGGAATCGCAGCCTCTGGCGCGGTAAAAGGGAAGCGCGCGCAGAAAGACATCGAAGCGAAAGGGCGCCCCTTCGCTCACCTCGAAGTGAAGCCATTGCATTTGTGGCAGCGCATTTGCGAGCACCACCACGTCGCGCACATCGTTGACTTCGGGGCGGGGTCTGGCGCGTTGGCAATCGCAGCCGCTGGCGCGATGGAGTGCGAGGGCGTGGCGGCGAACGAGGTGCACCGGGAGTGGCTCGACTCGACCTTGGACCGATGCGCGATGCACTTGGCGGGGCGTGACAAGAACTTCGCGAAGATGCTCGGCGGCGACGAGGCTTTCGTCGAGAAAGTGGAGAAGTACTTCGCGGGGGCGATGATGGAGGCGCGGCGCTTGCTCGAGCCAATTCAGGGCGCGGCGGAGGACGATGAGGATCCATCGGAGGATGAGTAGATCGCAGGCGCGCGGGCGCTTCTGGGAAGATGCCGCAGCCTCTGGCGCGCGCTGGCCCTTGCACGGTGGCGAAGCCTTGTGCGCGTTCTACTCCCGTGCGCGAGCAGTTTCGGGTGTGGCCCCCCGAGCGCGCGCGCAAGCGTGCAAGAGCACCAGCGCGGCAAATTTTGATGGCTAGACAAGTCCCCTGCCCGGATGGGCCAACCTCCAGACGCGTCTTCGGACGTGCGCGGCGATTTTGCACAAGAGTGGGAACAAAGTGACCCCCTCCCGGCCGCAGCCCTAACCACCTGGAAAGCAGCTCGGGCCCTCCTGAAGGACACCAGGTTTCCCTCAAAAGAACACGAGAGGACCCGTCAAAGCAGTCGGGGCCAACCAAGAGTTCACCATACTCGGCTCGTGAGCAAATTGGGCAGCCAATGCAAAGACCAGACCTCGCCCACCAGGAAACCTTGAGGCGGGTGATGTTGATGATCGCGATGATGATGACAATGATGATGATAATTATGATGATGATGGGTGAATGATGATGGTGGTGGCGATGTGTGTTTGATGATGACGATGGTATTAATGTTGACGGACAGGAAAGCAACTGGGCCGGTTCTGGAACCGAGGGAAGAAAACCGGGCCGGTTCTGGAACCGAGGGAACAAAGCCGGGCCGGTTCTGAAACCGAGGGATCAAAACCGGGCCGGTTCTGGAACCGAGGGATCAAAACCGGGCCGGTTCTGGAGCCGAGGGAAGAAAACCAGGCCAGTTCTGGAACCGAGTGAAGAAAACCGGGCCGGTTCTGGAACCGAGGGACGAAAAACCGGGCCGCTTCTGGAACCGATTCCAAGAAAAGAAAACATGTTCGAAAACAGGATGTAGATTCTTTACTCGGTTGCGCAACCGAGTGAACAAAAACATACTTGATTGGGTATGTTGGGTTCAAAGTTGTGGCCGCTGTATTGGATTCCTATTGACGCCCACAACCACGAGCCCAACATGCAAAATCAGATGTGTTTTTCCTCACTCGGTTGCGCAACCGACGAAAGAAAACATCATTGACCTCTTTGGTGGCCGTTTCCAGACCGGCCCGGTTTTCTTCCTCGGTTCCACAACCGGCCCGGTTTTCTTCCTTCGGTTCCAGAACCGGCCCGGTTTTCTTCCCTCGGCCCCAGAACCGGCCCGGTTTTGATCCCTCGGTTCCAGAACCGGCCCGGTTTTGATCCCTCGGTTCCAAAACCGGCCCGGTTTTGTTCCGTCGCTTCCAGAACTGGCCCGGTTTCGTTCCCTCGGTTCCAGAACCTGCCCGGTCTCTTTCCCATCCGTCATGATCAACACCATCATCAGTCACCCAACAACCCATCGTCATCATAATTATCATCATCATCATGGTCATCATCATGTCCCTTCGGCCACCATCATCCGCCCACGTTTCTTCCTTCTCATCCGACTTCCGCCTGCCTGTTGCGTTTCCTGCTGCCGTTGCTCGTCCTCCTCCTCCCCTCTGGGTTTCATCCCTGCCGCCGTCGTTGTCCTCGTTGTCTGTCCCCCCGGCCCTCCAACCCCTCTCGAACATGTGGGGTGGGTCTGGTCTACTTTCAGACGGTCTGGTCTAATATTGGAAGGGTGGCTTGTTTTTGTTATCAGCAGGTTCTGTTTGCTTCTGGGGTGGGTCGTGCCAATTGTTGGGCGGTTTGGCTTCATTGTAGGGGGGGTCTTGTTTAGTTTTGGGCGGAGTCTGCTCTACTTTTGCGTCTGGCGGCCTACTTGGGCAGTGTCTGCTTCACTTGTGGTGTGGTCTGTTCAACCCTCGGAGTGGGTCTGGTCTACTTTTCGGCGGGGTCTGGTCTACTTTTGGGCGGGGTCTGGTCTACGTCTAGGAGGCCCGGCACGCTTTACTGAAACGTCTGCTTGTACTGTTGGGCGGGGTCTGGTGTATTTTTTAGGCGTCTGAAAGAAAAATGGGTGGTCTGAGCACCTGAACATGTAGGCAATGAATTTCCAAGGCGTGAGTTTGTTAAACCTTCTTACCTTGTTTGCTTTGCTACAACATGCTATGCCGTACCGTGTCCGTGATCGTTTGAACGCTGTCCATATGTGCGCATTCCCGTGCAATGCCATGCGTTGTTAAGCAATGCTGTGCCACGCCATGCGCTACTCTCCGGTGCGATGCAATGCTATGCTATGGTATGCGCCGCCATCCGACGGGATGCGACGCTGTAGCTTTGGTGTTCACACAGAACGACCTCACTGTGAGCCACATGGTGGTCGTGTGTTAATGTTGTACACAGTACGGCTCTTGCGTACTTCCGGGCGGTGTCTGGACTTGGTGTGAGTGTGCCAGGTGCAATGCATTGCAACGCCTTGCGAATGCATGGAGCCCTCTGCGATGCGATGACATGCCGCGCTAGGCCACGCGATGCAGTGCTATGGGATCCCATGGTATAGCTCCGGTCGAACCCTCCCCCCCAGGCAGTCTGGTCGCGTGGGAACGTCGGCGCGCAATCTCAGAGACTTCATAGAGGTGCGCGTGCCAGACATGCACGTTTGCACGCGCCTGGCACGCGGAGGGACGGAGGCAGGGGTGGGGCGGAGGGCGGGGGGAGGAGGAGGACGAGGAGGAGGAGGAGGAGGAGGAGGAGGAGGATGAGGACGAGGACGAGGACGAGGACGAGGAGGAGGGAGTGGAAGTGGGAGGAGGAGGAAGGAGTAGTAGAGCAGGAGGGAGTAGAAGACGAGGACGAGGAGGAGGGAGTACAAGAGGTGGGAGATAGCAACCATGGAATATGGGGAGCCGGGCCCCGCCGTTGCTGGGCGAAAGGGGGAGGAGGAGAAGGAGGAGGAGGAGGCGGAGGAGGAGGATTACGAAGAGGAGATTCGGAGGATGTGTTTTGGACAGAACGGCAGGGCGCCCCCGGAAAGCCGTTCGTCGCCACGGCTGGACGCACCTCTGAAAATCGAGGCGTTCGGATCCTGGAAGGGCTCCAAGGAGCGGTTTTGAGTAAGAAGGGGAGGATGAAAAAGAGGCAGGGGGCAGCTGCTCTCCACAGCCCTCTCGGCCCAAGCCGCTCGTGCAGCAAGCGCCTTCACTCACCGGGATGTCGGAGCATCCACTCGCTGGGCCCCAGCCTGTGGCGGGAGACTTGACTGAACCCCAGCCTCTGGCGGGAAACTTGCGGGATTGGCGCCGCGGCAATCCTCTCCGAGCCAGCGAGACCATTGCCTTTGGCAATGCCAGCGCCAAGCCGACCCCCGGCGCACAACGGCCGCGGCACCACTACTCATGCCCTTTGCCTTCCGGGGGGGCACACAATTGGCTCCTGGTTCCTTTCCTCGTGAGGGCCCCAGCCTCTGGCGGGGCACCCCTTCCAATGGGAGCGTCGCAGGTGGCGCAGCTGGAAACCAGAGTGAGGGGGGGGCGTTTTGATGGAGCAGTGCACCAACATCCATCGCGTACGCGCCCTCTTGCTGAGCCACCCGCTCGTCTCCACCGCCACGCCGCACAAGGTGGACAAGGCACTTGATCCCAAGTGCTTCGACGAGGACGGTAGGGCCTGGAAATATCACCAGTCCCCTTGGGACTTGTCAGTGACGCTCGCAGCCTCTGGCGCGAAGTTCACCCTCGGGTGGAGCACAAACGGCATCAAGAAGCCGCTCACGGCGATGTGGTGGTTGATGCAAGGGAAGGCCGCGACGGCGGAGAACCTCGCCCGCGCGGAGGCGATATTCTTGGACGTCGCCGAGGCCGCCCGCTCGCGGCCGCTCGGCTTCCCTCCTGAGGAGCAGGGGTCCGCGGCCAGTGCGAGCTTTTCCTCTGCCGGCGTCACGCCCCAGCCTCCGGCGGCCACTGCGGCGCCGCCGCCGGCCAGGCCCTTGCCTCTGGCGGCGATTGCGGCGCCGCCGCCGGCCAGGCCCGCGCCCCCGGCGTCAACTGCGACGCCGGCGACGGCCGAGCCCCAGCCTCTGGCGGGAGACGCGACGCGGCAGCCGGCCCGCGCCAGCGAGCCCGCGCTGCAGAGGCCGCCGGCACCCGGCGAGCCTGCTCCGCAGAGCCCGCCAGCCCCCAGCCAGCACGCGCTGCAGAGCCCGCCAGCCCCGGAGAACGCCTGTCCGGCGGAGCCTTTGGCGGTGGCGCCCGCCGTGGCGCCGGGGGCGTTCGCCGACGCCGAGGCCTACGCGCCGCCGCCGGCGGCGACCGTCGATGCCGGTGCTGCCGCCGGCGACCAGCCTGCGGACAGCGCCCCGGGCGGCGCCGAGCGCCGCGACCACCTCGAGGATGACCCGCTGGACGAGGCGATGCGGATTTCCGCGCAGGAATCGGCTGAAGTTCGCGATCTCGATTACAGCCCAGATCGGAAGTCGGACCCTCCGTCGGCAGAGGAGGAGGAGGAGGAGGAGGGCGTCGAGGCCGAGCCGGGGGCGCAGCCGCGCCCCCCAGCGGAGCCGCAGAGCAGGGCGCGTCGTCGCTCGAGGTCGCGAGGGGGACCCAAGCGCCCGCGCGACCCAGCCTCTGGCGGGGCGGACGGCGAGGTCGACCTCACCATGCACGTGTCCGCCAAGAAACTGCAGCGGCTCACCGAGGACCAGAAGGAGCAGCTTCGGCAGATTGTGCGCAAGTTCGATAGGCAGCTGCACTTCGGCGATTACTGGCAGGGAAGGGCCGGACGCGATCCCAGCCTCTGGCGGGGTCCTCCTCGGGAGCCAACGGCGACGGCCAGGGCTCGCGATCAGCATCGGGCGCTGCTCCTCCACGACCTGCGGGCGCGCGCGGACCTGATCCCTGACGCCGAAGAGTTCATCGCGGGAATCCCTTCCAAGAACGCCGGGCGCTGGGGCGCCAGCGAGGATGTCGCGACGGCCATCGCCAGCAGGAAGCTCCACTACATGTACTTGCTGATCCACCAGATGGGGGAGCAGGACCGCCTGGTCTTCAGCGAGGAGTGGCCGGACCTCAGCCCAGCCTCTGGCGGGTGGTGGGTGCTCCAGCAAGAGGACTGGCAGCCGCTCCAGCAGGAATGGCGGGGGGTGTCTCCAGCGATGCGAAAGCCCAGTAGACCCCTAGCAACGTCCTCTCCGCCCATCCCCGCTTTCCCCCGCGCGGGGGGGGGGGTCGGCGAACGAGGAGGGAGAAGACAAGGAGGGGGAAGGGGGGGGAGAGGGCGAGGGCGAGGAGGGGGACTGGGGAGGGGGCGGCACCGATGGAGACACCCGTTGCCGCGATTGAGGACTTCCCCACAATGCGCGACACGCGCGACTACGTCAAGCACATATTTTGGCGCTGCACGATGGCGAGGCCAGGCTTGTGCGCACAGAGTGGAAGCCCTTCCTAGCCTCTGGCGGGAGCATCCTTCAACCTGCCTACTGGCATTGCCAATTCGCGCGCAGCTGGGCGACTTACTCGTGGCTCAACTCTCACAAAGGACACTTCGCCAACGAAGACTTGGAGTGGATCGTGAGAAAGGACGGCGGCGAGACTGGCTTGATGAGGAGCGACCCAGCCTCTGGCTGGAACTGGCAGATCCGCACTGGCCCATTCATCACGCTTGCCGAACTCTTCTGGTTCGGGAAAGACTTGTGCTCATGCTACGATATCTATCGCATTTACCTGAGCCTGCCTGTCTGGATCCAGAAGCGCAAGCATCCTGCCTCGCAGAATGCGCCGGGCACCTTTAAGCGCAACGCGAAATCGCTTCGCTACCAGGAGACCGGCACGCACGGTTTGCCCACGGCGCCTGGAAAACGCGGGCGGCGGTGAGCACGTGCCATCGGCGCCTTCGGTGCCGATCCCAGCCTCTGGCGGGAATAGTCTCGCGCCCAGCTCTGATGCCCGTGCCAGTTTTGGCGGGGATGCAGATTCCGCGTCCGAGCGACGCCGAAAAACGTTTGAAATGAGCCCCCCTCGTCGTCGTCGTCGTCGTCGTCCTCCTCCCCTCCGCCTTCCTGCTGCATTATTCCTCAGTCCCCCCTCCTGCTCTTGATACTTATCCTTCTCCCTCGTGAGGGCCAGGGCGCAGCGAAACCCAGCCTCTAGCGGGATAGAGGCTCGACGTCCGGGGAATGCCCCAGGCAACCAGAAAAAGACTGCGTGCCCCGTCCTCCGGGCGACTTCGCTCATGCGTCGCTATCCCGTCCACTGCCTGCCCCCGGCTCTACTGGTCCTCCTGGAGGTCGACCAGGTCCCCAGTGGGAGTCTTCTGCTCCGACCGCCGAGAACCCTCTTCCTCCCTCATCCCCCCTCTCCTCCCCCCCTCCGTCCTCCGTCCTCGTCCTCCGTCCTCGTCCTCGTCCCCCTCTCCGCCCTCCGTCCTCGTCCTCCCTCATCCCCCCTCTCCCCCCCCCTTCCGCGCCGCGCCGTCGCTCATGCCAGAGAAGCCCCCCGAAAAAGTAAACCAGACCTTGACAAACGGTAGCCCTGACCCCGCCGAACAATACACCACGCCAACCATGGGCAAACCAAGCCCTGCCAAAAAAAGTAGACCAGACCACCAACCAAAGCAAGCCTTCCCGCCCACAAGTACACCAGACCACGCCGACAAATTTACCAGACCACCCATCAAAGTAAGGCCCCCCGCCCAATAGGACACGACACCTTGCCAACAAGTAAACCAGACAACGCTCCAAATCAAGCCGCACCACCCGCAAGTATACCAGACACTGCCAACAAGTAAACCAGACCACGCCAAACTAGGCCAGACCCTGCCAACAAGTATACCAGACCACCCAAAAGTAGACCAGACCCTGCCAAAACGTAGACCAGACCACCCAAAAGTAGAGCAGACCCTGCCAGCAAGTAGACCAGACCACCCAAAAGTAGACCAGACCATGCGAAAAAGTGGACCAGACCACCCAACAGTAGACCGCACCCTGCCGAAAAAGTCGACCAGGCCCCGCCAAAAGGTAGACCAGACCCTGCCAAGAAGTAGACCAGACCACCCAAATTTAGAGCAGACCCTGCCAACAAGTAGACCAGACCACCCAGAATTGGACCAGACCTTGCCAAACAGTAGATCAGACCATCCACAAGTAGACCAGACAGTGCCAAAAAATAGACCAGACCACCCAAAAGTAGAGCAGACCCTGCCAACAAGTAGACCAGACCACCCAAAAGTAGACCAGACCCTGCGAACAAGTGGACCAGACCACCCAAAAGTAGACCGCACCCTGCCGAAAAAGTTGACCAGGCTCTGCCAAAAGATAGACCAGACCCTGCCAAAAAGTAGACCAGACCACCCAAAATTAGAGCAGACCCTGCCAACAAGTAGACCAGACCACCCAAAATTGGACCAGACCTTGCCAAACAGTAGATCAGACCATCCACAAGACCACCCAAAAGTAGAGCAGACCCTGCCAACAAGTAGACCAGAGCACCCAGAATTTGGCCAGAACCTGCCAAACAATAAACCAGACCACCCAAAATTGGACCGGACCCTGCCAAAAAGTTGACCAGACCATCCAAAAGTAAACCAGACCTTGCGAAAAAGTGGACCAGACCTTGCCAACAAGTAGACCAGCAACAGACCACCATCAAAAAAGACCCAGACACCCGCGCGTATTTGGCTGACAGCACCAGCCAAGCCCCAAAGCAGACGGCACCCGTCATATTGGGCCCCAAGAAAGACGTTTGTCTCTCCATGCGATCGTGCGTGGCCACGCGGGCTCAAGCGCTCATGTATTGAGCACGGGGTCTGCGCGCGGCCGCCAGGTCGCGCTGCGTGGCGGGGCGCCTCGCAGCCTCTGGCGCGATGGTGTTAAAATGCCAGACGCGCCAGCAGCGCGCCAGAGACCATGATGGGAGCTGCAGGAACCCGCAGTGCGCGCAGTACCGCGCGCCTCTGAAAGGGCAGCACTGGAAAGTGGCCAGGGTGAACGATGTTCTGGGCAAGCCGACGGAGAAAATAGGCGCATACGTCGCCAGCGGTTTCACCCTCACTTTGCTTCACAGACATGATACACGCGTCGGCGTAGCGAGCGGTGAGTATCTTCGGGGCGCAGCCTCTGTCGCGACTGCAGTGCGCTTGGAGATTTTAGCGGTGGTCTACCTGTGCTACTGGCGGTGGTCGGCGAGCTCACTTCTCGGACACTTGTCAAAGGCATTATCCCGCTTTGAGCGCGCGGACTCCGCAGACAGAGCTGAGATCTTGAAGGGCGCATGGTCTTCGATGGAGGCGGACATGGACGATCTCCAGGTCGTCGGAAATCGCGGGGAGCACGATGTTCAGATAGTATCCCGCCAGCACAGGATGAAAATGAAAATCTCAGCCCCTGGCGAGACTTTTGCGTATCATCCTTACAAGAACCCGGCTAGTCGCCGCACTGGTGGACAAGAGTTCCACATTCTTTTGCCTGACGTGCAGAATGGCAAACTACGGGAAGCTTGCGTGGATCTTGCCAAGCTGCTCGAGGCGAAGACCACGTTCAGGGACGCCGAGAGCGCCCTGCAAAAGCACGAGATCAAGCTTTGGGCCAGCGCCGCATACAATCGAGTCAGGCGGTTTGGGCACCGAAAACATTCTCACGCGGGGCCTCCCGATTGCGGCCTTTTGGTTGGATATTGGGGTCCTCTCCGGCGAAACCTTAAAGAGGGGATCCAGCCGCGGCGACGAGATCGCCCGGCCCCCGTCGCCCAGCTCGCTCGGCGGGCGTTCCGTCGTCGTCGTCGTCGTCGTCGTCGACCGTCGTCGTCGTAGTCGTCGTCGTTGTCGTCGTCGTCGTCGTCCTCCTCCTCCTTGCCCTCGTCGTCGTCATCGTCGTCGTCGTTGGCCTGCCGACGTGGCAGGGGGCATCGGCGTCGTCAGCGTCGCCCTCGTCGTTTCCGTCGTCGTCTTCGTCGTCGTCGGCGTCGTCGTCGTATAACATCACGCGAAGCCGACTCTTGCAAATGGGAAAACACGACAGCAGATGTCTGGGTCCTCCTCCTGCCTGGCGCCCCCTCCCGTCCTTCCCCCATTCCCCCCCCTCCCCTTTGAACGGATTTGCGCTCCGCTTCCTTGCTCTCAAGGTTTCTGCGGTGGCTGTTCAAAGCGGAGGGCCTGGACGTGCCCGTCGAGAACAAAGATTGGCCCCTGCTCGCTGGCATGGGGTCTGGTGCTGAAGCAGGCCTGGCCGACGCAGGTATTGATTCCTTCGAACAGGCGGAGGCGGCCTGCGCCGTTGCGGCTGTCGAAATCGCAGCCTCTGGCGCGACCCCCCCGGGAGACGGCGTCGATGCCTCCCCCAGCGTGACACGCGGGGTCGACGACCTCATCTGTTTCCTGTGCTTGAGCAAGCACAGAGAAGCTGTGCCTCGCAGGGTGTTCCCGCCGCCTGCGCCCCCAGTCTCCATCGCGCAAGATTTGAGGCTGGTTGCCCCAGTCGCAGCCCCTGGCGCGAGAGTCTCCTCAGGCGAGATTCTTTGTCATGCGAGAGTCAGAGGCAAAACCGCCGCAAAGCCAGCCATCGTCTCCATCGCGGCGTGGGCGCCCCAGGAAATCTTGCGCTGGGTGAGTGCCCCCGTCGCAGGCGCAATGAGTAGATGTTGCCGCGCATGGCGCGCAGGAGGTTTATCTCTGGCCTGCGCGGTGTCTGAGAGGAGGCGGCGAGTCGCAGACTCTGTCGCGAGCACCCTGTCTTTCGATGCTAAACCCGCCCGGGCGCTGCTTGATGCAGGGGCCCACAAAAGTGACGTGCTCCGCGCCTGGGCCTGCGCGTGGGACTTGCTCGATGGGCCCTCCCATCGTGCTTGTTTGAGCTTCGACGAGCGATTGTTGTCCATGGCTCTAGCTCGCATTGGCGTCAAGGAACACCTCCGGGGCGACGCGAAGTACGCGGCTGCCCGGATGTTCCTGGATGCAGGCGGAGCACATTCGCTTGCGAAGGGTCCTTCGCTTGCGGCGGTGGAAAAAGAAACGCTTGCTGCGATGGAGTGCCATGTGGTGATGATGATGGCGCCCAACGATTCTGGCCTCTGGCGATGATTCGCAGCCTCTGGCGCGAACCAGCATGGGGGGCGGCCGCTGGGGCGGCTGCTGGGGGCGACCAGCATTCGGGGTGTCTGGTCGCAATGGTGTCGGATCGGGGCAGCGGCAGCGCTCGATACTTGGGGCGCCTCTGAGAGCGGGACGTCTCGCTGAGCCTGCGCGCGGACGTCGGCGAACTCGACGCGTGCTTGAACCGTGCCACAGAAAACTACACCTATTCGGTTTTCCGCTGGGCTTTTCGCATCGTGCTTCTGTCAGATGCGTTTGTCGGAGATGTTCCGACCAGCCGTTGCTGCCATTACTCTTACAGCTACTTGTACTACTACTACTACTACTACTACTACTACTACTATTACTACTACTACTACTACTACTACTACTACTACTACTACTATTACTACTACTACTACGACTAGTACTATCACTACCAGTGCTACTTTAAATACTACAACTGCGACTACGACGAATATTGCGTATATTACTACTACGACGACTACGACGACTACTACTACTACAACTACTACTACTACTACTACTACTACTACTACTACTACTACTACTTCGACTACTACTAGTACTACTACTAGTACTACTACTACTACTACTACTACTACTACTACTACTACTACTACTACTACCACCACTACTCCTACTGCTACTACTGCTACTACTGCTACTACTGCTACTACTGCTACTACTGCGATGACTACTACCACTAGGGCTACTGGTACTGACATCCCACAGCTACATCAATTTAAATGGAGACTGCTACCGCTGCCGGTTTTGACATCGCTGTTAT